GGAAGTTCTTAAAAATTGAGAACTTTAACTCAATTTTAGTCGAGCAGTAAGTAATGGTCATAAATTTTAGCGAAGTTGTTGAATGTCAGTATCAAAGTACAACTTTGTTTTTGCATATAATTGTAACTAAAAGAAAAAGTATATTAACAAAAAACAACAATCATAGGGGACTAATATTCTTTTGAAAACATATATTAACAAAAAACAACAATCATAGGGGACTAATATTCTTTTAAGGGGGAGAAGTTTTTGGTACGTAAATGTTGCGTGTTTAAGGTGTAGGCAAGTTGTTTCATAATTTTGAATTATTAAAACATGATACTCAGTGGGTGGTGCGATTTTTCAGGCTTTGAGGCTGATCAAATATGCAGTGGGAAAGTCTGGTGTGGAGTTTAGGAGAGAGATGCAGAGGAATTCAGTAGCTGTACGTCAGTTATTTCATTATAAGGGGCAGCCGGATCCTTTGAAGGGGGATGCACTTAATAAAGCCGTGCGGGAAACAGCTCATGAGGCCATTTCTGCTATATTTGCAGAGGAAAATAATACTAGTAAGCCTCCTCCAGCAGATGACTTTAACAAACGAATAGAAGGATTTGGCAACACAAACTTTGAAATGCCATCGAATGAGAAGAAATCTTTTCTAAGTGAGGTTGTTGGTATTGGAAGTTCTTCTATCAAACAGGGAATTAGTAGTTTCACTCAGGGTCGTTCAGTTAGAAAGAATGATAATGGAAACTACAAAAATCCTACTCTTCAAAGGTCGTTGACTACAGAAATTGATCATTCTGCTAGGTATGATCCAGTTGAATTGCACAATGACAGTCCCGAGGTTTCTAGGAATACTTATAGTGGATCTTGGGGCCAGGATTCAAGAGTATTAAAGGCAGAAACGAGTGTGGAATCTAGCTCAAATCATTCAGAGTCTAAAACTCGTGAAGAGAGATTGTTGGAAACCATAGTTACATCTGGTGGTGTACGTCTACAACCTACCCGTGAATTTATTCAAGCTTTCTTCATGGAGGCTGCAAAGCTTGATGCATTGGCTTTAAGTCATGCTCTTGAATCTAAGCTTCTATCTCCAGCGTGGCAGGTAACTCTTTGCTCTGTATTGAATCATTTTATGGCAAGGCCACAGGGTGGGGGTTACTTAGCTTTACGCAGGAAATCTACCCGACCCATTATCACCTTGACCACTTCACAATCATGCAATTGAACTATTTTGTTCTCGTTATGTGATCATGTTTCATATTGGTAATAATTGTGTATTGATTTCTTCCAAAGCAATCAACGGAGTATTTGTTTTTTAGTTATCTTTTAACCTTAACATGAATTTTTTTTTATGGTCAGGTTCGCATGAAAGCTATGTGTGTGCTTGAGTCCATTTTGAGGAGAAAGGAAGATGAGCATTTTGTAATTGTGGCTTCTTATTTTACTGAGAACAAAGATATTGTTTCGAGATGTTCGGAGTCTCCCCAAGCGTCTCTCAGAGAAAAGGCCAACAAGGTATTTATCTTAGTCAACCTTTTGTTTTTCCTTTAACCTGAAAAAACATCATTATTTTTTACAGTTTAAGGTCCTGTCTAGACAGCCTTTTCTGGTGCCATGATTGTAAGGTTTTCTTTTTGTTTTTTCTCTCGCTTTATTTTGCTAAGCAGCTAAAACAAGTTCTGATTAAATAAAATAAACTGAATTCATGGAGGATAAAAGAAAATTCAACTAATTTATGCTTGAGAACTTGCTTTGTGCCTATGAAAATTCCAATTTAAGTTTTTTTTGAATGTTGGTTGTTTTTTGGTTTAAGGTAGGAAGAACGCTTGATCTTTCCTTCCTGTTTGGATTCATTAAGGCGATGCATTTACTAATGGCATATATTGTGCAAATCTAAGTTGATGTAGTGTATTAGTTTCTTCTTTTAAATTAGAAGAAAGAAATTTTATTATCTATTATATTAATTTTTAGATGCTAGCTCGTTTTCCCTTAAACAATTGTCTGAAAATGAATTTCATGTTGTTTACTCTATTTTCTTTTAGGGCAGATTTATCTTTGCTTCTGTTCAAGCCTATAGCTCAAGATATTTTAGGATTGGTTCTTGCATTTTCACATTATATTTCAGTTGCTTTTTTATTCATGATCTTTGAATGCTCATTGTGTTCAATCTTTAATTGTCAATTTGTCATGATTCTAAATGTTATATGAGCTTGATTAGTTATTATGTATTTTGATGCTGATTTATAGCTGGTATGATATTATTTTCTGTTAATGAAATCGAGTGATCTTGATATACAGGTGTTGACCCTTTTGAATGGGGAACAGGCAGCTGGTTGGGCTAGTAATTCAGAAAGGTCTTTAAAGCCTGTGACCACTCCCGTTCAAATGCCTGACCTGATAGACACTGGTGATCCAGATGATTATGATGGACAAGATACTTCCTCAAAAGACCCAAATAATCAAATTACTGCAAACCTGACCACAACCCGCTTGTTGATGACTTGTTTGGAGATGGTATAGCTGCTAGTTTTGGTGCCACCGAACAGAAAGATGATGGCGATCCCTTTGCAGATGTCTCATTTCACACTGGTGAGGGTAGAGAAAATGTGGACGATCTCTTCTCTGGGATGACAATAGATGACAAGTCCATTATCAATGGTAATCATGTGGCTGCAAATAAAAAATCTGAACTAATTAATATCTTTGGGACCACTTCTGAAACTCCGTTTGATCCAGAGATTAAAAATGACTCTGTTAATGATTTAATGGCTGGCTTATGGATGACTGAAAATCTATCTAATTCGAAGCAGAAAGGAATCACTTCTGAGGCCCCTGAAAATGTCATCAACACCCATTCTAGCCATCAAGCTTCTAATGATGCTTTGAGTGGTATCCTTGGTTCTCAAGCCACAGGGATGACAACAAATCCGATGTTTCCTTTAGGAACCACGCCATATGTCATTCCTCCTGGAATAATGTTGAACCCAGCCTTTTCTTCTCAGCCTATGAATTACGGTGCTATGGGGAGTTTCTTTGCTCAACAGCAATTGCTTGCTGCGATGTCTAACTTACAACACTTGGGTAATCTTAATGCACAAAATGTTGGGATTAATCATGCTTCCAGTGGATCAAATGGAGGGTCACCTCTGCCTGATATTTTCCAGTCAAATTTTCCAACTCAAACGTCAAGTTCAATGATGAATAGTTCCAAAAAGGAGGATACCAGAGCATTTGATTTTATTTTGGTAAGTTTTGAATTTGTGGCATTTAATGTTTTGGTTAGCTATTTGTGGATTATAGCTGATAATCTTGTATGTGGCTTTTGTTTTGCAGGACCATCTTGCAGCCTCTCGTGATCCGAAGAGGACAGTGTAAGGTATGGTCTTGAAATGATATTTTCAAGGTATTACATGCACCTTTGTCCACTGCATTGCATTTAAAACAAGTAAGGAACATACTTAAATTAGAAAGGATAAGCTGCAATCTTGTTGGGAAAATGTGTTTTTGTATCACAGTTTATTTTTCTTCTTTTAATGGAATTGTAGAGCTTTTGTGCTGCGTGATTTTGCCATTGCCAATGCAACCACAACAAATACGTATTTCCACGGCAAAGCATTTTGACTGAGACAATGTACATGAACGGCAGGTTTGATCTGTTAAAATGCCTGCGAATGTTATATCCTAAATTTATAGAAAATGACTTTTTCCCCCTCTTTTTTTTCCAGCTTTTATATATCAATGTTCCATGTCAAATTAATTTAGGGCTTTGTGCTACTACTAGCCTCTTGCATTTATTATAGAATGCAAATGATATTAAGTAAATGATTAAATTTTACGGACATTTATATTCGTCCATATGGAATTACAAATAAATATGCATTTTGTTATCAATGAAAATTTGAACGCAGTTGATATGAATTCTTTTTTCCCAGAATTCTTGTTTATATTCAAGTGTTGATTTTATCATTAGGTCAAAATGTGCTCTAAGATCCTATGCCCATTTACATTTAGATGTTTTTTTAATTACAGATTTAACAAAAGTCTAATTGTTAACATCTTGAAATAAAGAAAATACTAACTTTGAAAGTTTTGTAATTAAAAATTGTAATAGATCTGGATTTAATATTGAAGTTATGTTAACAATTGAATTTTATTTTTTTAGACTCGAAAAGTGGATTGTACTAAATTCGTGCAAATAAAGGTAAATGATTAAATTTTAAATTTAACCTTCTTATTAACAATTACTGCAATTACGTATTTGGATCATATGTGCCTCGGAAAACCACAAACTGGAGATGATTGAATATAACATTTTTTTTATTAATATGAGAGAAGTGTAGAGTAGTATATATTTAAAGATAACTCTCAATTATTTGACAGTGAACGTTCAATTATTTAAATCCGAGACCTCGAGTAATTACAACTCCTCTTTTACCACTAAAGTTGTTTGGTTCGTGCACTGTTCTTGGCATTTGGAAAAGCTTAATTTCAAACTTGTTATGTTCAGATTATGGGCTGTTCATAAGACTCTAACATGACGTACTTAAAAATTGATGCGAGTCACATATATTTGAACACTAGGTTTTTAAAAAAAAAAAACAAATACTATAAATATTGATACATACAAGTTATATACACTTTTGAGCGTGGTATGTACAAATTATAAATTGTAAGCTCAAATGTCAGTAATCAAATGTGAATGGGATTTTGAGTTTATATAGGCTTAAGAGCTGTTGGGAGGGGATTCACCTGAATATTACTCTGACCTGAACATGATTATTTTCAGATCGTACGGACAAAAAAAAAGGTGTTTAAGAGGTAGAGTCTTCAAGGTTGCTCCAGGATGTAACTTCCATCTTCTTGGTACTTTTCAGTTGTTCCGCAACATCCAAACGCTCAGAAGTGTATGGTGATGGAATCTAGTTGGGGCAGTAAATGAAACTATGATTTAGCACAAAGAAAAAGGGTTAATAAAAAATAGGAGACAACAACGAGGCTTCTTTACCAAAGACGGTATGTACTTGTTGATTGTTGCTAGCATTGCTGCATGACCTACTGCTGATACCTGGCCATTTCAATACGTAAAAGAAAACTATATAAGATATGGAAGGCCTTTGGTGCTGCAAATAATGGGTCACTTATGGGGGATTGCTTTGCAGATGATGCTACATTCTAGGAATCTAAACTAAGCATACTGAAAGGATGTAAATGAGATGCTTCAAAAAATGGATAATGACATATGATTGTTCATTCCTCAAAGAATTACGATGTTATATTCTAATTAAACCTAATCAAAGAATTTAACGATAAGGTTTCATCATAGCAAATCATCCTGAGTGAAATGTGATGAAAGCATTGGTGAGAGGAGTTAAACTTCTTACAGCAAGGAGCATTAGAATTGGAACAGGAATAAGTGTAGCAATGTCATTCAATGTTCTTTTTAACTTCCTTTTTTCTCTGGCTGTTACCTTCTGCCCTCGCAATTGCTTTGCGAGTAGCTCCAGGGAAACTGTGAGGTCGACAAATAGCAACTGAGTTCCCAACCATACATCCTGCACAATTTCGTTATTTTACTATTAATGCTTGAAGTATGTTGATCTAGTGCGAGTCTGTTCAGCATGACCAAGGTTTTGGGCCCTACGAAACTTGAAGAAATCAATTCGGTGCAGCATTTTCTAATTAAACTCTCATGCAGGGTATTTGATTTGGGGATGTCAGTTCCCTCTCAAAGGTTACCGTATCTTTGCTGGCTGAACAGAAGTGCTGCAGCTATCAACAGCAAAAAGTAAATAAATAAACTGTAAAACAGGGGTAACATGTGTCCATATATGTAAAATATATGTGTGGTTAAGCGGTCAACATTTCACATATGATCTTTACAATATTGGAATGCTACCTGTCAAAATAGAGTCCAAATGATGTTAATTTGCTGTTCTATTGTTGGTTTCAGGGTTGCATATCGTTTTTGCACTATTAAATGAAGTTTCATGGTAAGTGACCCTTTTCTTTTTTGTTAGAGATGGTTGTACGGTAGAATGCACAAATGCTGGGGAAAACTATAAGAGATCTTGACAGCTGAGACTAGGCATTGCCGCATTGCTTGTCTGAATTACTTTTATGCCTAAATTCGATGGCATATACTTTCTGTAGTACCTTTATGGCATTGTCATCATCTTAACCCTGCTCCTACTGGAATCTATCTCATTTGTCCACCTTTGATCAGAATTCTGTTGCTCATCTTATCCGGTATTGTCATTGCTGATCATGTCTTGTTTCCCACAATACTATTGCAGCTTTGACATGCAAAACACAAATGGCTTTGCAACTTTTAAAGACATTTTCCTTGACTGCTATTTGATCAAAGAACATATTAGAAGCACTTTAATCACTTCGTCTGTCAGTCTTTTATCTTCCTCAATTATTTCCAGATATGAGAGACGTCTTATGTTCATGAGATTGTTAAATTCTCGGTCGAGTAACACCGCTTGAATTGTATTATCCTACTTACAGCCATGTAAGATTTCACCATTTTCTTTTTCTTCAAATCTACAAGTTTTCCAATGGAATTTATTGTGAAAGGAAATGACATAGCATCGCATATCTGACTATGAAATCCGTACCTTTTTCAGCAGACGAAACTGTCCAAATTCATCAATTTGAGATCCCTCTGCCAGTGCTTCTAACGCCACTGAAAACCGGGTTGTGCCGGAGCTCCGGTAGATGGTCCATGCTTAGAGGCACCCGAGTCTGTAATCTTTAACAGTTCCCTGCTAGATAATTCAATATTAGCTCAATAATGTACTCTTTAGTGCAAAGCTCGTTCTACTGCGGAAAACACCATGGAAATGCCATATGAAACAACCAACTTACCCCAATCTATCATAAGCAGCCCAGTAATCTTCCAGGCATAAAGATAACAGCCTTTGGCTGAAAATTTCAGATAACATATCTTAAAAATCCAATTTACTAAAAAAATAATCAGATAAGTTAAAATATTATGGTAGAAAAATTATTGACTACCTCTGGAGCAAGAATGCTAACAATTGAGAATATAAGGGTGCTGAGCCAAGCGGCTGAAGTGCGCAAACCCAGAAAAAACATCATAGCAAACAGTAAAAACATTTGACAGTATGATTTCTTTCTCTGCTTGAATCGCATGCTGCTTGGACCTTCTTTCGTAATTGCTAGTGAAAGAACAATTTCCATAAAAATCAAGCCATCCAATTTCATCAGTTACTACCTGTATGTATATTTTTTAGCATTTAAATTAGTTAGTGTCTGGAAAACGTTGTTTAGAGATCGACTCTCAAAGTTCAATGTGATATTTTAAGCCAGGAACAGAGGTTAAGAATAAAATACATGAACTCGTGCCAAACTTAGTGGAAATGAAACGGATAGTGTTAGGCATTTCCAACAGAGGGCATATGAAGCTAACCTCCATGAAGAATTGGTAAAGTGACATGGAAGAGAACTCCGTGTAAATGAAAAGGCTGCCGCACTCCAAGTAGCTGCACCCAAATCAGTACAACTCTTATAGCATATTTCAATGACGAATTGCAGTAATCGGGAGTCAACGAAATCAAGACACATTTTACGTCAGGAAGTCCTTCACCAGCTCATTAAGATCATTTATACGCAATCGTGAAAAAAACAATCTAGTCTTCCTCCCTAGATAAGCAAAAAGTCCCAATGTAGCCAAGCTATCTGCTTGAACCTATTAAAATATTAAAACCAAATGTTTACAACTTAAACCGTCCACAATGTGTTCTAAAAGGACAAGCTATAAGTACTAAAATATTTGGGAATCATGAGAAGAACCTTGCTGTTAAATGCCGATTTGCCTGGAATCATGGTTTGTATGGTGAAAGTTACTGAGAGTTTCCTCTGAGCCAACCCTATCCAAAATTCTATCTCGTCACTTTTCTTGCTAGACCGAACCTTCGCACCAAAATGTAACAGGAAATGAGCTTCAAATCCTGCCTCAGTTGCTAACTTGTGTAATTTGTTGACCGAAATAATACCATGTGAAAGATCCATAAGCTCCACTATAACATCGCCAACTGATATTTTAGACAAGGGACAAGACTCAGGAGATATGTTCAGAACACAATTGCTCTACTGCAGCACAGCAGCTAATAGCCATAATAATCCCTGCAACACCACTGAATATTCTTGTGTTTAGGTTAAGCCACAGGTTGCAGAATAATCAATGAATTTATTCAAGATGAAATTATAGGATGTGGGAAAAATAAACATATGAAGCTGTTTCACATTTACCAGAAGGACGGAATTATGAAGGACGGTGTCAATAATCCTATAAAGAAGAAAAAATATTTTTGGTTGAAAACAAAGGAGTATTTTGAGCAAACCTTCCCGCATGCTCCATAGACCACTTCTTTAACAATGGAATGAAAAATCCTGTCATCCTTGGAAGTTCTACCACTCTGAACCATTGTACCAATTCCGGATGTCTCAGTTTCAACCGACTTTCAATGAACTCCTCTAACGAACCTGTCTCTGTGGTAAAGCTGAAGCAAATGGCAAAACAAAACATTAGAGCTGCTAAACACCACTATCACCAGGCATAATTAAGGAGAGAAAGAGTAGACTTGGCCAGAGTCTGAGAAACATAGAGTTTCTTTGGATGTTTTCTGCGGGCATTAGCATAAACACTATCTGAGTTTGATTTAACAGTATGAAAGTTTTTAAAACAAAAAGAGTTCATTTTGAAGTTTTAGATCTCTTAATATCATTTACTATGATAATACTAATAATATAGATTATAGACTAAAAGAACTACTACAAAAACTTACATCTTTCTAACTGGGGATGGATTGTTATGACTTTCTTGAGAGAGCAATATCTCCACTTCGATTATCGTTTTCAACATAGCATAAACAGCTACCTGAAGAATCACATTAGTCAACGATTTTTTTCCAGTATCTCATTTCCTTTAATAATTCACAAAACAATGTCATATCTCATTTCAACAAAAGTATCTGTGTTGTTCAAGGCACAAGCATCAAACAGAACACTAAAGTTTTGCAGCATATGGTTAACCTGTCTATAAGTAGTTGCCAACAACATGAATTTCAATTCTAATATACTATTTCTAGACTATTTTTAACAAAATTGTAAAGGTTCATATTAGTTTTTATTTATTTAGGGCTGTTGAGCATTTACCCGATGAGCAATACATTTATGCCATTGATGCACGTCCTTTCCATTCCAAGCCATTGCAATCTCAGCACAGCTTCCATCCAACTCAAGTGACTCAACTGCAAGGGAAAAGCTTCTGGCAGCTTCATGTGATACCCAAACAAGACAATTCACCAGATTGAATTCGATTGCAGGAGAATCAGCCTCATGTAAAACAGCCTCACTGCCAGTATCAGAGGGATCACAAGGGGGGAAGAAGGCACTGACGAGAATGCACTTCGAAATGTACCCTTTGAAGAAGTGTAACCAGCAAACAGTAATCCAAGTAAATTGCTCGTATTTGCTGTGAAATGATTCCCTAGCACCCTTCGGTGGAACATTGAACAGTGTAATGCACTTGAACTAGGCTTCCAATTCCATACATTAGAGGGTTTAAAAGTTTGTCTGTGACAGATAAATATGTTCAACTCCTCAAACTAACAACAAATTCATTAATATTACATTGCTTCCCATCTTCCGTTTTGATTCATTTAGCCTTTTGGTTTTAAAGAATTTTTGTTTTCTAAAAAGAAAATTACATGAATCAACCGAGTAATTGACAGTACACAATCGGCCTGTAAGTTCTAATCAAGACAATATACAAGAAAGAAGAAAGTCAACCAACGTCACATACCCAAAAACAATAAAAAAAAAATGTATACTTTGAATCAGTTAAATGTAAATAGCATATGCAATAAAAAAGAAGATTACCATAAATTTGATGCAGGCAAAGGCGACAAAAATCAAATATTTTTTCTTTCGATCCATTGAGAGAAGGTCATAATTTCAAGGAGTAAATACCATTGTCGAAGTAAATAGGGGAGCTTAAAAGTACAACTTACGTGTAGAAGGATAAATGCGGCAGCTGCAGAAACAAATGGTACGCCATGGAAGAAGCAAAAGAAGAAGGAGCGAAGCCATCGAGGCAAGTAGGTAGAGAGTTTAAAAATTGAGTTTTTTATTTTTATTTTTGTAATTACGGGTAAAATGTTTTGTTGCCTGTCTTAGGTTTTGTCTCCCGCCAGCCGGTTTTTTTTTTCTTTCTTTTTAAATAAATTATATCAACAAACACTCAATTATAGTCTCTTTTTATTTTTGACAATTATTATTAAATTTTTGTCAATTGAACTATTTAAATATATTCAATTAATCTATTAATCATTAACGGTGACATATGATGACATAATTACATATTTAGTCATCATTACTTATGCATCTTATAAAATTAATCATAATCTAAAATTAATTAAATAAATTTAATCCTCCAATTATATATCACCAATAATACTTGTCACAATCTAATGAAATAAAACTAAATTAAATTGAAAAGGTGCTACTAGCAAGATTTGATCTTAGGCCTATGAGGAGTTAAGCATCAACCCTACCACTGCGCCAAAAGCATTTTTTGGCTAACTTTTCACAGTATATATTATTTAATATCAAGAATTATTTTAAATCTTATTTTAACTATATTTTTAAATATATATAACATGTAGTTAAATAAGTAATAATTAAATAAATATTATATATATTTAACAATGTAGTTAAAATAAGATCAAAAATAAAAATAAATTTAATATTTTTAATTAATTAATAATGTTTTTTCTATATTTCGTAATAGGTTAATGTTAGATTTGTTTTATTGTTACTTTTGTTTTTCGTTTTCTTTGGCATTCCTTATAATGTAAGTTAAATAAGTAATGTGGTGGAATTCCTTATAATGTAAGATAAATAAGTAATGTGGTGGAAAACTTATCAAACATAGTTGTTGGCATAGTGGTTGAGAGAGATGCTTAATTCCTTGGAGAGCTTGGATTGAATCCCCTTATCAGCATAATTTTAAATTAAATATAAATTAAATTAAGAAAAAGCTCTCCAATAATGTTGTGACATGTGCCTTCATATAATTGGAGGATTAAATTTATTTAATTAATTTAAAAGTATGACTAATTTGATAGAATATATAAGTAATGAGGACTAAATGTGTAATTATACAAATTTTTTAACTGACACATCAGCACTTCCGATAACTGTTAACGGAAAGTAGTCTGATTGAATAATTTAAATAGTTGAGTGACATGATTGACAAAAATTCGAAAATGATGGTCAAAATTAAAAGGGGATATAGTTGGGTGGTAACTAGTATAATTTACCCTAAATTTTATTAAAGTTTGCTTCTATGTTGCACTGATACGGAGACGGGAAACATCAATTCTTAAAATTACAGGGTATAAGAACGATAAGGGTACGACATATAATAAAAATTTAATTATAAATAAATATTAAAATCATAGATAAAGTTAATATTAAATAGAAATTATAAAATAAAATCCATAAGTAAATATTAGAAAATAAAATTCATAAAGTCAATACCTCATAGAAAATTTGAAACCCTAAGATTTGAGAATTTTGGCCTAAATTCTAAATTATTTATGTGACCAAATTGTAATTATTGTAAAGCATGTAACATGTTTTGTAAACCCTAAAATATTTGAGGACTAACTATGAGGTTATACTATTTTTATTATAATAAAAAATCTCGCTCTGTTTTAACGTTTAGTCGCGCCTCCCTATTTCTTTTCCTTCGATGATTCATAGATCCTCGTCGGTCATCTCGTAAACCTATATCTCGTCGTGTCGCCACCATCCTTAGGTCGTCGATCATCTTCCAAAAGCCTTCATGTTGTGATCTCAATCCTCGCCATCGACATGGGTCGTGTTGATACGAAACCCGCGAGCTTTAGCTCTCATTCTCCACCGTTGTGGGTCGATTCGACCGTCTAAGGACGCATGTGATAGTCACATGTCGTCCCCAGAACGTCCTCGGGTAAACATCGAAACGTCACCAAATTTGTTCAACAACATCTAGCCACGTGGCATGTCCCCGGTAAGTACCTGTGCTGTCTTCGTGTCGAGGTCATATCCGGTACTGAAACATAGGAAGCAGTGTCATCCCCGAAATTCATAGGTTTGTGTTATGGAAAAAGAGACCAAATGAATTTAAAATTGAAACATTACTGCGAATGTTTGATTTTGAGCTTATTTAAAATTTATTTAATTGTAAAATTTTAACATCATTTAATCTTGAAACGATTCAAATATAAAAAAAAATGCAAACTCAATAAATTTATTATCAGTCTCTTTTAACTTAGATCCAAAATACTAGATTAATTGAACTCATTGAATCCAAAATAGATAAGATTAACATAAGCCTGAGAAAAATAATAAAAATTAAAAGAGAATGAAATCGATTATATTTTATTTATTTAAGTTAATTTAGTTTCAAACTTCATTCAATCGTATATAAATGATTTGTTCGATTATTTTTATTGATCTGTTGTATCTAAAATTAATATTAAATTGCACGAATCAAAAGATCTCAGTGGTTAAGCGGCTTATTATTATCATATGAAGTTTTAAGTTCAAGCATCACATATACTAAGAGTATGAGCGTTCATTGTCAAATGATTGAGAGTTTTCGAACATATAATACCTTACATACACTCTAAATTTATCAACAACAAAATAAATTAATACTAACTTGCTAGAATCAACCATATTCACCGATATATATGTTTAAAACTATTACATGGTATATAAATAAATACTTTAACATATAATCTTCGTTGAAATAAATATATTCTTGGAGGAGGAATATGCGCACTTAAACAAGGAATATTCCTATGAATACCGTTCAGAAGAGGGGAAAAAGTCGAGATGATTGGCAAAAGGAGCATCAAATCCATCAATTTTGTGGTAATTCATTTCCGATAGAAGCTTCCATCTCCGACGGCTTCGGAAATCCAAGTTACGCCGAGTCCTGTTTTGCCATCAAGTTACTGTAAAAAAGAACCACCATTCTCCATTTAAACTCATCATTATTCCTTATTATAGATAGATATTATACACACATACATATTCCTTCTTGCTTCTTAGATGAATTTTATTTTACAAACTGAAAAATTCAAAGCCAAGGGCGTGGATTAGCCGTCGACAACTATTTTTCTTCCCAAGGTGTTCATTGACGCGAGGCCAATGACTAATCCTCCAAGTTCTATAGGCCAAAGGCGTAAACACTGACCACAAATTTTAAAGTTGCTCCATACCCAAAACAAGGATTGAACTCTCAACCACTGGTATGGTAGGACAATAGGAGAAATCCTTGTCATCTCACCTATGTGTCGTTGACAACTAATTTCATCCACTATGATACTTGAGTAGTAAGGAAATATCTTTACAAATTTCTGTTCAAAACATTCAAGGGGGACTTTTTTGCAACAATCAGGTTCCTAAATCCGATCATGTTTGGGTTTGAAAGCATAAAATATGACATATTTAGCAGAAACAGGGACTGGAACCGCATACTGCAACTCATCAAATTGAACAAGAACTCTAAGGTTCTGAGCAAATAGATCAAACATTTTAGAAAAAAAAAATAACAATACGCTGGGGGAAAACGTCATTAAAAAAATGAAGAGGGAAAAAATCATACATAAGTAAAAAAGGTGGCAACAAGAGAAAAATAAGGCTCACGTTCCATTCGACACTGCGGGTATTTCTTGGAGCATGGTCTACATTTTTCGGATTTATGGCCAGAAGTTTTAAGGTAATTGAGGTACTCTTTCTTCTCCTACAAAAATAAAGTTGGTGACATTAGAGTTAAATATAGAAATGAGACATCCCATTCAAAAGCTCAAATTCAAAATCTTGTTTCAACAAAATAGTGTTTTTAAAGATCCTCAAGAATCAAAAGCAAGATTGCTCACCGAGTCACATTCATGCAAATGGTCCAAAGGAAAGATGCCTTTCTCAGGTGGGACTGGTCTTAGCCCTCTATTCCCACCAAATGCACCTCCTACTCCAAAACCACTTCACAAATCACAATCACTAAGAAGAACTAAAGAAGTGGATTACCTGATTCTATTTAAAAGGGGCTATACAATTTGGGAAACTACAGAACTAGAATCTTCAGAGAACTTTTATCGAACAGCTAACCAGCAATTTAAAAGTAGGCCAGAAAACATGCAAGTACTTTAAGAAAACAAAGGACTCGATATAACCGGCGACGAAATGGTTTCTTTTCTGGACTTCAAAAGGACGGGTATTGAAAACTACTAATAGCATAGGAACACGACAACTTTATGGCAAGCTGAAATTTTGAAGAGATTAATTATCAAAGAAACAAAATTATCTCAAAAGAAGAAAACATAAAGGAAGCTAACTTCCATGTTATTGAATTACCTGCACTCCTTTCACCGTGTGTTTGATCACTAGCTTGCCTCCGTTTTCAGCTCCTCCAGTGCCCGCTAACTTGCAAATCTCCCAATAGAATCGGGTTTTAGAATTGGGGGAACTTTCAGATTCGAGAAATGAGATTCCCGGAAGAATCTAGCTGAGTCTCAGGCCTACCAAACAGGCCCATTACTAACATCTGGAAATATTGAGCACTCTTCCTCCCAAAAAAGAAAGGCCCAGATATTGAGTTTTAGAGTGTATTTTATTGTTTCTGTGATTTATACTGATTAATTTTTTGAAGTTTCAATTAAGTCATTAATACAGATAATTAGAAAACAGTCGTAATTCACAAATAAAAATAAATAAAGTAACATAACTAAAGGAGGAGAATTAAGATTTCATTTCTATGATCAATATCTTAATAAGCAACCAAAAGAATGAGATCAACGACATAATATTTAATTCATGTAAATCCTATTACTACCTAATCCATTATACCTCAAATTGTTTGTTAGGGATTAATAATATATTACAAGTTGTGGCAAAGATGTTTACTTCACTCCAAGACAAACTTTATAAATTTTTATGATATATTAGAGTTTGTATTTTATACATTGATATTAAATTTTAAAATTTTCATAAAAAAAAGTCCATCTCATGGTTATTACTTTTGAACTAAAATTTTGAAAATCGTTTTTATTAAATTTATCCGTAAGTTATAAAACTTGGGATAAAGATTTTTAATCTTTTATTTCTGTTTTATAGATTTGTCTAAAAGTTACAACTCTGATTCATGAACCATGTGTAAGCAAATAGGTTAAAATATTTGGACTCGGTCTAAAGCCTTACCTGCCCGAATTTCATTAAGACTATTTTTAAAAAAAAAATTAAACCAATAATTTTAGGTGTTATTATTTCCGAGTAAAAAAATACTAATATTATCTCTGCTTTTTTTCAATCCTGCAGCTGTTAAATCAACATCGATCCAAATAGTTTTAACTGTGTAATACGAAAGTCATATAAACAAAACTACAAGAAACCGATTTGTATTTCTTTTCATATTATTATTATATTGCATTGTGCAGATGTAGATAAAATATTGGTTTTGTTCTTTTTCATCATTTGATTTGATGACATATCAGAATAAAAAAACCAGGTCTGCCAACACACAGAAGTTTGTGGGGCTGCCCCAAAAAAATTGTTAGCTAGTCGAAGTCGAACCTAAATTCAGCAATGATTTAAAAAGCTAGCGTTTTAAAAGGATAATTTCTATTTTAACCTTTGAATTTGTTTCTTTTTATAATTGTATTTAAACTTGTTTACGTTTTTTTTTCATCTTACTATTTAAATATGTTTTCTGACCATATTAATATATAAATGAAAACAATTTCATAGAGGCAAAAATATCTTGGATGTGGAAATAGACCCGATCAAATCAGTGAAAGGGTCCATTACCAGAAACGAAATCTCTGAGTTGTGATGCATGAGGAAACTTCTGGGGTAAATGATATTGCATGACAAGTTTAATTTCGATTACTTTTTTAAAAATGAAAATATAATCTATTTTTATCATTGTCCACAACAAGAATTCAAAATGTATATCCGCAATGAACAAAGCAAGGGGGGGGGGTGATGGTGACGTGGTTTTGAATGAAATGTAAGTAAAGAGGCTACTAAAGACATAAAGTGGCGAACCCAAAAGGTTTTTATGAGACAAACTACGCCGTTTGTAATTGTAACGTTGCAGCAGGGACGCTTGGATTTGTATAAACGTGTAGTATCCACCCCCTTTCATCCGTTGCTGAGTTTAGTAGGCGAGAGAGAGCTGGCCCGTTCTTCCCTTGGTTCAACACCAAATATAATGATATTATTCATTTATTATATAGTAAAATATTCTATTTTTATTTTTTCAAAATAGTTGGTTAAGGGTAGAGTTGGAATTTGGAAGGGAGCGTCTTCTCATCACCATTTTCTCTATATATTCATTGTAATTCTCTCACATTTCTCTAGCATTTAATGGTATGCTTTTGAGATTCTTGGAAGTTTGGGTCAGTCTCCTCGAAAAAACAAATGAAAAAACCAAATCATTCTTCATCATCAGAAGCTGAGAGTTGTAGCTCAAACTCATCCCCTACGTCTTCTTCAGAAACTCGCAGCAAAGCTAAAAGACCTAGGGACCAAGGCAAATCCCCAGTTTACAGGGGAGTGAGAATGAGGAGTTGGGGCAAATGGGTGTCTGAAATCCGAGAACCCCGCAAGAAATCTCGCATTTGGCTCGGAACTTTCCTAACCGCAGAAATGGCAGCTCGTGCTCACGATGTTGCTGCTTTGAGCATCAAAGGTGACTCCGCCATTCTCAACTTCCCTGAGCTTGCGGACTCGCTTCCTCGACCGATTTCATTACTGCCGTGACATCCAAACCGCCGCTGCTAAAGCTGCTTCAATGGTCAACTTCAACACCCTGTCTTCTTCTTCTTCGTCGTCGTTTGGTATCCGAATCTTCATCTCCGTCTGAATCCAGTGCCTCGGAAGAACCCCAGGAGCTGAGTGAAATCATTCAGTTACCCAACATAGACGAGAATTTCGACTCGCGGAACGAGTTTATACTCCTTGACTCGGTCGATGGGTGGGTGTATCCACCAGTAGATTTCTATGGAGGATTCTCTGATCAGCCATTGGTTACAGAGAATTTAACAGCTGGCAGCTTTGGAACTAGTTCACTGTGGCTGTGGGGATAATTTCCGACCTTTTCCACTGCTTTCCTTTATTAGGGTTACTGTAATTCTGTAAGGTGAATTATTCGATTTGTTTGCCTATCTTTTTGCTATCGGGCCTCTTATCACTTTCCATAATTTTTGTAATACAAGAAACCATACAAGTCATAGTTTATGAATAACAATTAATGGTTGTTAACTTTTACCGCTTAATTTTGTTTTATCAATGTTGTCTTGCGAATTATTAGTGTTTTGCAACATAGGTTTTCCTTTTCTTCTATCGACTTTTATTTCAAGATAAGCTATTCATTTTTCTTTTAGTTTCAGTAATTAAATTCAATACTCACAAATTCAAGTTTTAAATATATATGGTTTCCAATTAATAAGACTAGCAGAGCATTAACACGAAAGGTCAATGCCAATATGATTTACTGTCATTCTAACTAAGATTTTAGTTTTAATAAAAAAAATAATTAGATCTCTGTTTCTAACGATCTTAAATTGTTGAATATACCCTTTGATTCGTGGGCATTTTCTTCTTCTCTGGTCATTTTTTATTCTAATTTCAGAACCTAATCAATGTATTAATGAATATAGATAGATATTTTTAACTTTTTCTTAGAAAGTACCGCATAGTTTGGACGATATTGAAAAATTGAATATCTGGACTTTCAAATTTAAATCTTAAAAGTGGCACCTCTTTTAGATAATTGTATAAATTAATTAAATTAAGCTTTAGACTTATAGTGATAAAGGTTGAATTACCTATGTCGAATTCTATGTATAACTTATTTTTTTTTCATATATGAATCTTATTTATTTAAGAGTTACGATCAAAATAAGTGCCCAAACTATACTTAAATTTTTGAATATGTGTCCAAACTATTTTTTGATTCATTCAGGTGTCTAAAGTGTTCAGGCTGTCAACGGCGTTAATTTTCCCCGTTAAGTGACTCGTGTCACAATATGGTGATTTTGATTTTTTTTTTAAATCTATTATTATATTTATAAAAAAAAATTAATTTCTCTTGAATTATAAAAAAAACCCAATTACCTAAAATCCTCAAATCTTATCTTTAACCTACCCTTTCAGCCCGACCACCGTCGTCGACGTAATCCCTGCCATCCACATCAAGGATGGACCTGGGGGAGTGGTCACCCCCTAAAATCTAAAATTATTATATTTTTAGATTTTTTTCTATGTATTTTCTGTTGAAAATATATTTTCGCCCCTTAAAATTTTATAAGTTCAAATTCACCCCTCAACTTAAAATCATGCCTTTGTCCTTGATCCACATAGTCATATGTCGTCATAGTTGCAGTCGAGATCGCGTGGGATCATGATTTCCATCATAGGTTTATGTGGTATAAAATGTCGATTCGTCATCGATCAACCACGATTTCATGGGGGTTTTGGTTGCCGAGGGGAGATGAGGTTGAGGGGAGCTTCGTCGACAGTAAAGGGCGATGGTCGTTGTGGGTTTAGGGGTTGAAATAAAAGTTTTCAATGTTTTTGGGTTATTTCAAAATGTTTATGTTTTCCTTTAAAAATATATCTAATTTTATTTTTTTAAAATTTAAAATATTTTTTTAAAAATCACCAAATTATGACACGTATCACTTAACGAAAAAATTAACGTCGTTGGTGGTCTTGACACCTAAATGGGTAAAATTAGTAACGTTAGGCACCTGAATGTGTCAAAAAAATAGGTTAGGCACCCATACGAGAATTTAATTATAGTTTGAGCAATTATTTTGGTATTAAGCCTTTATTTAATAGTATAATCTGTGTTATGTTGATTGATTCTGCTTGTAATCGTTGGTATTATGTTTTGTACATATTCCTTCAAACATAATAGTCATCAAATACTATATAAATGCCGTTGGCTTTACAGTGGAACAAAATAAAAGGGTACCGTTTGAGAAATTTGAAAATCGGTAAAATAAAATAAACTGAAGAAATGACATCTATATGTAAAAGGGGGGGGGGGACGAAGTACCGTTGGAGAGATATTCTTTTAAAGAAGAAGACGTGACAATTTGATGGTAAATAAAGACATAATGTCAATTTTACAATTGATGTTGAAACGAGGAGAAAACATTTGATTGGATGACGGCTTGATGCGTCCAACGCGAGTGTTTTGTCTTTCTACTTGACTGCTTCTGGGGATGAGTTTGGATTCCCATTGTCCAAAAATGTATCACCGTCGCTTCTATGTTGGTTCTTTGATTTCTCTAGAATTAATTTTAACATTTTGGTACGAAAAGATTGTTAATCAATGCATGATAACAGTAGTTAGGTGATATTTCATAAAACAAACCAATATGCAATTAGTAACTTACAAGGAAGTAGCATGAATCAACTTATCTAAGTAGTTAAATGAATCGTTGTTATTTTTAAAATCACCTATTCAAACATCAACGTC